AATACGATGGGAAAATTAATAATCCAACTGGCAATCCAACAGGAAAACAAGCATCGTGTACTGCAGGCTCAAATAGCGTTTTCCACTGAGAAAACTAGTGCAGAGAGAAATTTGTATAGCGATCATGTAATCTTTTCCCTAACGCGGAAATGTGAAAAGTAAAAATTCTTTATATGTATGTGTGTATATGTACAAACATACATACAGCTGGTAACAGAAAGATTGCAACACTTTTTTTTCGATGGGTTTCGGAATGCAGCTTGCTCACTGAGCTATTGGTTCTTATTTGTGGATCCGTAAATAAGAACCATTACTTGGTGAGCAAGCTACATTCCGAAACCCATCGAAAAAAAGGTGTTGTAACCTTTCTGTAATCAGCTGTACATAAAAATTTTCACGTTTCCACTCTAGCGAAAAAGTTACATGATCGCTACTCTGAGAGAGGACATGACACCCCAAAACTAGTGATGCCGGATTTCGATACGATGCATCGAGAATCGATTTTTTTCCGTATTGCTCAATGTTGCGCCGAGCGTGTCTGGGCGCCGGCAATGGCTAACTAAGGGCGGGATGATCCCGATTAACCACGGCTCGATTGGACACCACCAATCACAGTGACCGGTGCTTAGGAGCTTTGTAGTTTCAAGCGCTGTGAGTGGCTCGTGTCCAATTGAGCCGTGTCCAACTGGATGCCACCTACTAAGGGCTAAGGAAAATTGGCGGGAAATCACTGAGTTCACAAAGGAATGTTATAGGCCTTCTACAATAAGCCGCAAGTCTGAAGTTCTAAGCGATCTTAAGTCATAATCGGTAAAGTTGGCCAATAGCCAACTTGAACGACTTGGTTAAGACTGGTTAAGACTTCTGACGTTCTGACTTGCGGCTTATTGTAGAAGGCCTATTACTCATTGTTTCTGACTCACAAGCCATAAGGCGGTTTAATATAAACTCAAATAAAAATACATGGATGATCACATTTCAATCTTTTTTTTTAATTGTCGGAAGTGTCTAAAAAATCGTGCGGACCGTTATGTTGAACACTCTGTATGTATATATATGTACAGGGTGGTCCGTTTTAATCTATCGATGCGAATATCTCGGAAAGTACGCATCTGATTGAAAAGTTGTAAAGGGAAAATTTGTTTGTTTAGATGGGGGACATCCAATGACACCGAATTCGGCCCCCCACCCCCACCCCCGGGGGCGGGGCGGGGGTCAAAATTGAAATTTTAAATGAGTACCCCGATTTTTTATTACAGATTCTGATTCTGCGTCGAAAAATATGAAAGTTTTGTCTCAAACATTTTTTTCGATGCGTGACAGATGGCGCTGTAATCGGCAGTTTTAAT